TTAATATGAATTGGGTTTTGTGTGACATTTAATTTTTTTGAAGAAAAAATTTAAAAAGTTGTTAATATATAGAAAGGTGTATTTATTTCAATGGAATTATTGGATGAGACTACGGAAGTATTATATATAATTATTTATAAATTGTGTATTTGACACATATTGTAAAACAAATGGTGTATTTAAAATATGTATTATTACATATTGTGTATATATATATAGGGGGCGGATCAAATGGGATCAGCTCTTAAAATGCGATGCGGACAGCTCTTAGCAACTACAGAGAACTAACCTATCAACTACAGAGAACTAACCTAGCTACTACTAACCTATCAACTACTAACTTAGCAATTACGGAGAACTAACCTAGCAACTAGTAACCTAGCAACTACAGAGAACTAACCTAGCAGCTACAAAGAACTAACTTAGCAACTACAGAGAACTAACCTAGCAACTACATACAACTAACCTAGTAACTACAGAAAACTAACCTAGCAACTACATAGAACTAACCTAGCAACTACATAGAACTAGCCTAGCAACTACATAGAACTAACCTAGTTGGAAGGTTAGTTGTCAACAGTCAACGCTGGAAGTCAAAGGTCAACGCCAAAAGTCAACGTATTTTGCCGGAAGTCAACGTCGGAAGTCAACGGTCAACGCTGGAGTCAACGGGTCAAAATAATATTTAAATAATTAGAATAATAAAAAGAAAAGAGTAAATTTTGGTCACACATAATGTACCAAATCTTGTGCCTAAAAATGAGTCTCACGTCATTCACTTTAAATAAGTGGATGCATTGAAACCAATCCATATATATATCTATCATTATATTAAAAGATTAACCATTTAACACTTTTAGCAAGTTTTTCCCGCCAAATACATTTAATGTCTCCTAAAAATATAGCAGCATTAAATGTTGCCCTTAAATCATGGCAGTTGTTAATTTAGTTTGGAGAAAATCGTGGTAACTAAAACAAACAACATTAATTACGACTGATTTAATATTTAAATGGTAAACAAATATTATTTTTTTATAACTGATTTAAATTTACGTCTGTTTAAAATAAAAAACTATTTTTGTAATTTCAACAAATTTGTACTTTTTAATGTACGGCTGATTTAAAATTAAGAAATAACTTTTGTATTTTCACAAAAAAATCGTATAAAGAAGTATGGCTGGAATAATAATAAAAAATTAATTTGTTAAACTATATTTTGCACTCATAGATACGAATTCTCATCAAATTCAAGATTTAAAATTGTGAAGAATGTATATATATGTGGACTGATTGAAGATATATGATTCTTTAAATTAAGGAATTTTTTCCGGTAAAAAAAAATATAAACTTTAAATATAGATTTTATTAGTAGTGTATACCAAAGAATATTGTTACATTTAAAATTCCTATGAAGAAGAATTCTATTAATTTTCAAATTCAACATCTCATAAAAATAATATAATACACATTTACATTCTATGAAACAATATTTAAAACCCACCGTTTAACATGCATAAAATGTAAAATTACCTAACATGAATAATTTTAACTTTCTAAAATCAGTACACAATTTGCTCGGTATGTACTAATAGTCTAATAGTTAAGAGTTAATATTTTCTATGACATCTATTGGTTGGAAAGAATTCTATTTTGTATGGAATTCGAAATGAAAAAACTTATTCTGAAAATCAAATCTGGTTTAGAGATCGATTTCTTAATGGCCTTAAATTATGCAAATATATTGTTTCAGTTTTTAAGATTCTTTTTTATGATCTCAGTCTTTGCATTATATGAAATCTATACTTATATAAAAAGTCATCATATTTACTAGAAATAGTAGGCAGAAAAGCCAAAGGTAATTAATGCTTGCTGGAAATAGAATGATATTAATTATAAATTTGTTTTGGTATTTATAGGCTTGACATTAAAGATTTGTTATGGGATAAAAATCAGAACCGATTTTTTTACCTTTGCTAGAAAAGTCAAAGGTAAGTATAGATTTGTTTTATCCCATAGCATCGTTTTAGTTAAGAAAATCCCATCAAATCAGTTTTATATGTCAAGCTTATGAATAAAGATTTAATCGGTCAAAATTAAATCCTTATCTTACGTCACCCATAAATAAAGTAGATGTCAAGCCTAAATTGAAGGGTTTAGTTGTCTATATAGTCATTGATTTACGTAAATACATCTAATGTTTAAAGTTTGTGTAGATTGAAAATTCCTACTTATCTTTTTACAAAAAATTTTATTATTATTGTATGGAAAATCAAACTCATAATGTTGTCGAATACTATCTTTTGTATAATTTTCCTGCGTATTATAAAACTTTTATTGAATATTGCATTTTATAATATAGTATTCCTCAAATACATATATCCCGTGCCACGCACGGGTCACATACTATATATATCCCGTACATTTTTCTGTATTCATGTATATAATTATAAGTTTGGATAAATAGCTTTAAAATTGTGCACCCCGTGCATCGCACGGGCTCTGTACTAGTAAATATAAATGACGATTCATTTATTGGCTCCATAAAATATAACCTATATATACGTATGATCGGGCGGAAGTGGCATATTGTAACAAATAATAAAAATGAAAATACGATATTATTTTCATTATATATATGAATTTTTATTTGAAATGTTGATTTTAGTGAGCTAAGCTATTTGAAACATTATACTTTCGAACTTTGTATCATACTAAAGGAGTTTAATTGAGTGACTTGTTTATTTGCTAAAAGAATGAGGTTGTCCGATTGTCCCCAGGAGCCCACATTTTGCGGTCACTTTTGAGCAACTTTTTCCACGAGCAACAGGAAACAACCATTAAAAGAAGAGAAAGGTAAAAGGGCTGAAGAAATTCGTTCCCTCAAAACACCTTCATGTTCTGTCTGTCATCACATTGGATTCGCCATCAATATATTTAATTAATTATAATAATATCTATTCAAAATTGGAGATGTAATTCAAAACATGGTTTGGCCACATTCACACGTAAATACAAAAATATATAGCTACATTGTGAAAACTTGCAACTATCAACTATGTACTAGAGTGAGTAGTATGCTTTTTCAGGTATAAAACTGAATATGAAAGCATAAAAAACAAAAAAAAACAAAAATTACTTCGAGTAAGGATATAAATAATGCTAAAGTATGTAACATATATAGCTGAAAAATTAAATAAATTTTTTTAAATTTATAAAATACTACCTAAATCTTTTTATTTATACATTTCATCATATAATTCTAAAAAGAAAAAAAATGTTCTTTTTGACTTTCCTTTACTCATCTTAATGACAGGTTATATTTTTTGGAATGACTACAGTTCCTTTACGGAATTATTACGTCAATGTTTTAAATTATATATTATTTACACTACACTAATTTACATGTGTATCTAACAGTTAAGAATATTGACGGAATGATACTGTTACGGATTGTAGTCATTCCCAACTTGCTTACCCAATCAATCCTATCTTAGAAGCACTGTCCAAATGGGTCAAAAGCCCATAAGGTGGCCCATAAAAGCGTAAAATGAATGGATTAGAGGCCACCTCTCATCCAGCCCAATTGGACGCTGGGGGCATTCAGCACTTTCTTACGTTAGTTCTTAGTGGGCGATCCAATAAGAGTGCTATTCGATTGATAATACTGTCTACACATATGCATTTATTTAGTCATCAATAAAAAAAATATTTATGTATATTTTTTCTTTAATGTTTCCAATATAAATTTTAAATTTTAAAAACAGTCAATACTACATAATTTTATAATTTTATTTTTCTACGTAGTTACATTTTTATAACTTTATATTATTATTATTTCTATTATTTCACAATTAATTATTACTCTTTATACCACATAATAATTTTATGATGTGATCTGCACAAAGCAAATGACTTCTCGTTCACAAACTGACTTTCAGTATCTGCAAATCACCAAGAGAAACTCCAGTGCTCAAATTAGGTTCTCGTACGAAACAGGTTTGTTGAACAGTTGTATACGTAAAGCGACCAAAGTATGATCAAAATTTTTATACCTACGGGGTGTATATTAAAGCATTAGGATCCTTATTATTCCCTCCAAATTCAAATGGGATTTTCCTAATATATACGTAGAGATCTCCGAGCTATATAAGGAGCTTTTTAACAATATACATATGCTCCTTTTTAAGTCAATCACCTAAACTTTAGTAGCCACATTTGATCGAGCATGGTCGGGTCATTTAAGACCCTTAATCGAGCTTAGAGTCGCAAATAAGTAGAGCCAAACTCGAACTTAGAGTGCTCAAGTTCGAGCCCTTAACGAGCCAGAAATCAAGCTCGAGCATGGTTCATTTATAAATATTGACGAGCCGATCTCAAACTTTAACAAGTTGTACTATAAAAAATTGTATTAAAAAATTCTTTTTGAGACTCAAAGAATTGAGTCGAGCAGTTGCCTCGTTAATGAAATGAGCTTTAAGCGAGCTCGAACCTTAACGAGCTGAGTCAATCAGAACTCACGAGCAACTCGTTTCGTTTAACAGCTCTAAGATTAATTCATTCGGCTCCATAACCGCAACCCCACTTGACTGACCTATAACTGAAGTATTAGAATATCACTTTTGAGTTGTCTCACATTATTTATACATGGAAAATAGGCCTAAATTATAAGCATAGTAATTTCTCATTTCACCAATTGATTTTGAGATGGAACCTCAGTATTGTGCATCTAGGTTCACCCTACTATGTTGCACCGCACGTGCATGAGACCGCACCCGTTTTCCCCCATTTTTCGTATGAAGCACTCACAAGTGATGTGGCGTATTAGAAATAATACCACTTGTGATTTGTCCCGCCTAGTTGGGCTTGTTCTTCGTATGAAGGACTTACAAGTGAGGGGGTGTATTAGAAATAATACCACTTTTGAGA